CATTGGTTACACATGCATGCATGTACGTTCTTTGGTTTATCTCATCCCTCTCCCCACCCCACTCTGCTGAGGTTTGTCAGTCAGAACTGTACTCCTTTCTGTGTCTCTGGGGCTATTTTGTTCATCAGCTTATTCTGTTCATTATATTCTGCAAATAAGTGAGATCATGTGGTATTTGTCTTTCTCTGATTGGCTTATTTCACTTAGCATACTCTCCAGCTCCCTCTATGTCATCTCAAAGGGTTAGAGATCTTTCTTTCTTACAGCTGCATAGTGTTCCATTGTATATATGTACCATAGCTTTTTTATCCACTCATCTATTGATGGACACTTGGGCTGTTTCCAGATCTTAGCAATTGTAAATAGTGCTGCTATGAACATAGGGGTACATATATTCTTTCTGATTGGTGTTTCAGGCTCCTTAGGATATATTCCTAGAAGTGGGATCACTGGGTCAAATGGCAGTTCAATTTTTAAATTTTTGAGGTAACACCATAGTGTTTTCCATAGTGGCTGCACCAGTCTGCATTCCCACCAGCAGTGTAGTAGAGTCCCCTTTTCTCCACACTCTTGCCAGCACTCATTTGATGATTTGTTGATGGTGGCCATTCTGACAGGTGTGAGGTGATACCTCATAGTTGTTTTAATTTGCATCTCTCTGATGATTAGTGATGTTAAGCATTTTTTCATGTGTCTCTTGGCCATTTGTATGTCCTGTTTGGAGAGGTGTCTATTTAGGTCCTCTGCCCATTTTTTAATTGGGTTCTTTGTCTTCCTTTTGTTGAGTTGTATGAGTACTCTATATATTTTAAAAATTAACCCATTATCTGATGTACTGTTGGCAATTATGCTCTTCCATATATTGTATTCCCTTTTCATTTTGATGGTTGTTTCTTTTGCTGTGCAGAAGCTTTTTAGTATGATGTAGTCCCATGTTTTAATTTTTCCTTTGTTTCTCTTGCCTTAGATGTTGTATAGGTGAAAATTCTGCTGTGTATGATGTCTGCAATTTTGTTGCCTACATTTTCTTCTAGGATTTGTATGGATTCATGAGTCACATTTAAGTCTTTTATCCACTTTGAGTTTATTTTTGTGTATGGTGTAAGTTGGTGGTCTAGTTTCATTTTTTTTTTTTGCATGTAGCTGTCCAATTTTCCCAACACCATTTATTAAAGAGGCTGTCTTTACTCCATTGTATGCTCTTGCCACCTTTGTCAAATATTAATTGAGCATAATGTCTTGGGTCAATTTCCAGGTTCTCTGTTTTGTTTCACTGGTCTGTATGCTTGTTCTTGTGCCAGTACCAGACTGTTTTGATTACAGTCGCTTTGTAGTATAACCTGATATCCGGTATTGTGATCCCTCTTACTTTGTTCTTCCTTTTCAAAATTGCTGTGGCTATGTGGGGTCTTTTTTGGTTCCATATAAACTTTTGGAGTATTTGTTCTAGCTCTGTGAAATGTCATTGGTATTTTGATGGGGATTGCATTGAATCTATAGATTGCTTTGGGTAGTGTGGACATTTTAATTATGTTAATTCTTCCAATCCATGAACAAGGTATATGCTTCCACTTTTCTATATCTTCCTCTATTTCTTTTTTCAATGTCCTATAGTTTTCTGTGAATGTGTCCTTTACTTCTTTAGTTAAGTTTATTTCTAGGTATCTTAATTTTTTTGCCACAGTGGTAAATGGGATTATTTTTTCAGTTTCTCTTTCTGTGAGTTCATTATTGATGTATAAGAATGCTGTTGATTTCTTGATGTTAATTTTGTATCCTGCTACTTTGCCAAATTCATTTATTAGCTCTACTAGGTTTTTGATAGAGTCTTTAGGGTTTTCTATGTACAATATCATGTAATCTGCTAATAATGACAGTTTCACTTCCTCCTTTCCAATTTGGATCCCTTTTATTTTTCCTTCATGTCTAATTGCTGTGGCTAAGACTTTCAGTACTCTGTTAAATAAGAGTGGCAAAAATGGGCATCCCTGTCTTGTTCCTGTTCTTAAGGGAAATGCTTGTAGTTTCTGTCCATTGAGTATGATGTTGTCTGTAGGTTTTTCTTTCTTTCTTTAAAAATATTTTTTCTTTTGATTGATTTTGGAGAGAAGGGAAGGGAGAGGGAGAGAGAAATAGAAGCATCCATGAGAGAGAATACTGATTGGCCTCCTGCATGCCCTCCACTGGGGATCAGGCCCACAACTTGGGCATGTGCCCTGACCAGGAATCAAACTGGTGACCTCCTGGTGCATGGGTCAATGCTCAACCACTGAGCCACACTGGCCGGGCTGTAGGTTTTTCATATATGGCCTTTATTATGTTGATATATGATCCCTCTATTCCCACATTGTTGAGTGTTTTTAGCAGAAATGGGTGCTGGATTTTGTCGAATGCTTTTTCCGCATCTATTGATATGATCATATAGTTTTTATCTTTCATTTTGTTTATGTGGTCTATCACATTTATTGATTTGCAAATATTGGATGGATCCCACTTAGTCATGGTGAATGATTTTTTTAATGTATTGCTGGATCTGATTCATTAATGTTATGTTAAAAATTTTGGCATCTATGTTCATCAGGGATATTAGCCTGTAGTTATCTTTCTTTGTAGTGTCTTTATCTGGTTTTGGAGTTAGAATTATTCTGGCCTCATAAAATGAGTTTGGAAGGCTTCCCTCTTCTTGAATATTTGGAATAAGTTTGAGGAGAATGGGTGTTAGTTCTTCTTTGAAAGCTTGGGCTTTTGCTGGGGGTTTCTTGATTATATCTTTAATTTCCTTAGTTGTTATTGGTCTGTTCAAGTTTTCTATCTCTTCCTGGTTCAGTTTTGGGAGACTGTGTGATTCTAGAAATTTGTCCATTTTGCCAAGATTGTCCAATTTGTTGGCATGTAATTGTTCATAATATTTTGTAACAATTCTTTGTATTTTGGTGTTAGTTGTTACTTCTCCTCTTTTGCTTCTGATTTTGTTTATTTGGGTCCTCTCTATCTTTGTTTCTTGGTGAGTCTGGCTAAGGGTCCACCGATCTTGCTTATCTTTTTAAAGAACCAGCTCTTTGTTTCATTGCTCTTTTGAATTGTTTTTTCAGTTTCTATGTCATTTATTTCTGCTCTGATCTTTTCCCTTCTACTTGCTCTGGGTTTTTCTTTTTGTTTACTTTCTAATTCTTTAAGTTGTGAGGTTAGACAGTCAATTAGAAATTTTTCTTGTTTCCTAAGGTAGGCCTGTAGTGCTATGAACTTCCCTCTCAGGACAGCTTTTGCTGCGTCCCATAGATTTTGTGTTGTTATTCATTGGTTTCCAGGAAGTTTTTAATTTCTTCTTGATCTCCTTGGTAACCCATTCATTGTTTAATAACATGCGATTTAGCCTTCAGGTAACACTTGCTCTTTACACAATCCTTTGATGTCTTAGGCCAGAGTTTTCTGCCCAGGCCATTCATCAGAATCATGGGGAAGTTTTAAAAGAAAACTATATGAACAAATCTTAAGTTTTATTCTAAAATAAACATTTATTTTAGAATAGCTTTAGATTTTCTGTGTGGCCAGCACTGTGGGAGATGCTGTGGGACAGTGCTGAAAGGTGCCCACCTAAAAGGGTACTGGGACTCGGGCAGTGCACGTCAGGAAGGCCTTTTCTCTGCAAAGGAGGGCCAGTCTTTTATCTTTTTTTTTTCCTTTACATCTTTGCTGTCTGCTCTCACTTACCTCCTTTGGTTTTTCTCTCGTCAGTCCCTTCTGTTCCTCAATTATTATTATTTTTAAATCTACTGCTTCCTATCTTCCCAGAATAGCAATAAAATATGTTTGAAGTATATCTAAAATAAGAGTAATTAGGCTGTGAATTAAGGCTTGAGAGACTGCTGCGAGTATAATACATAAACTTTAATATATCAATTTTATAACTTCCATTTTTGTTCCCGACAACAACATTGCCATATAAATGAAACACAAGTGAGCTGTTCTGTTACAAAACTTACCATCACCCGCTGGCCACATTGCCCCTCTCACCTCATACTCTCCTTGCTCCATTAGAAGTGCACTGGCCCTTGGTTTGCCTGAAATGTAAATTTTATTTGCCAGGTTTTCTTGGTTCTAAAAGGCCTGTTTGGCCCTGGCCAGTTTGGCTCAGCGGTTAGAGCATCGGCCTGCAGTCTGGAGAGACCCGGGTTCGGTTCCCGCTAAGGGCATGTACTTCGGTTGCAGTTTGTCCCCGGCCCTGGTTGGTCGTGCGGGTGGCAGGCACTCGATGTGTCCCTTCACGTCAATGTTTCTCTCTCTCTCTCCCTTCCTCTCTCTCCCTCCCACTCTATCTGTACAAAAAATGGAAAAATATCCTCGGGTGAGGATAAAAAAAATAAAAAATAAAAGGCCTGTTTGATCACGTTTTGACATACTTTCAATGGGATGAGTCTTTTTATTGATGGTGGTCTTGGCATTATGTCGTTTTCTTACTTAGTGTCTTAGGATTAATGATGTCTTAGCTTCAATGAAATGCAGTATTTCTATCACTTGAAGGAATTGACAGATTGTTCTGTTTCTCCAGCCTGTGCCACACGCGTGTGCTGGAGAGAGACAACTTTACCACTCACTCAAAAGCAACTTTCTTCTCCCCACAACCTTCTTATAACAATAGGAATAAAAATATCTACAACAGTCAGCAGTTATAAAGCACTTACTATGTGCCCACTGCTGTTCCAGGCACTTTGCATATATTTTGTCAATAATGTTAGAGGCACAGCTATTATCCCCATTTTACAGATGAGGAAATTGGGGCTCAGGTAGAAGAGGCGAAGCTGGGGATCCAGGCAGTCTGCCTAGCTGAGAAAAAATCATGTCATGCCGCCTCTAATGATTCTGGGAGACGGTTGAAGAATCTTCATTTAAGTCAGGCTTCTTACGTAACCCTACCTTATATCTCTTGGTTTAAAAATGTAGCTTCGGGACCTTAAATTGATATATGCTTTAATTTTTCCCTCTCTCTCCCTTTCTTCCAGCTCTGGAGTGCACAGAAAATCAAGCAGGTAATCCAATTTCAACTTCTTTTCCTTCCCTCCTCCGTGCCCTACTGGACCCTGCCCCATCCCGTCCCAGGGATCCTTCTGTTGTGTGCCCAGCTTCTCCCCACCCCTTTGTTCCTGGTCGCCCCTCCCCCTCCTCCCCAGCACCCAGGGCCTGAGTTTCTGAAGACTGGAGCTCAGGCCAGCTCACCTTTCCCTGGGCCCTCGAGCTCCTTCCCTGTGGCTCCTTCCACACAACCTTGTTACATGCCTACTGTGTGCCGGACACAGGGGTTCAGAGGGCCTGCATGGTAGACACAGTCCACCCTCCTGCGTTCAGCTTTGAGCATCAGTCAGAGGATACGTGCTCTTTGGGGCCATGTTTTAGTTTTCTTTGGTCCTGAATGGTAGGAAAGGACAGACTGACCAGAAGGCAAGATACAGCCACTGGTCATTGGCGTCATCCTGTGGTGGGGGGTGGGGGGATGGGGGGCTCTCCTTTCCTGCCTCTCTCCCTGTCCCCATGTCCCCTGCTTCTCCCACTGTCACCCTGTACTCTGTTCCTTGCTCTTGCCAGGCTATTCTACACCCGGACACCAATGAGAAGATCTTCATGCCCTTTAGGATGTCAGGTAAGCCCCCCGGACCTTCTGGTTCTGCCAAGCCAGGGCCACTTACCAGGGTCACAGTTCCAGGACCATCTAGATGTGACGACCTGAGGAGGGGACAGAGCTGTTACACACACAGCCACACGGGCACGTGTATGATAACCTGACTCAACTGTACAAGACTGGCCAGGCCTCAGAATCACCTATGGAGCTTTTAAAAAATGTGCCTTGTCTAAAAAAAAAAAAGTGCCTTTTCTGCCTGAGCAGCTGGGGTGGAGTGGGGGCCTTCACCGGTGACTGCTGTGCCCCTGTCCCCAGGTTATATACCACTCACTTGTTGGCAGCCTCAAAGGTGACACCTGCGAGGACAGACCCTGCCTCCTCTGAGCCACCCCTCTCCTACCGATACACGCTGGCTCTTTCCTTCCAGTCCGGGCCCTGCTCCCCGCTCAGCCCTTTCAGGCAGTTAACCCCAGACCAACTCCTTGGTCTCCGATCCGGCGGTTGACCTGCCCTTCAGAATGTCTGCACTGTATTTGCCCTGCACACAGCGGGATGGCAAATTTCATTCTGCAGAGACCAGTGGGCCGGGGATGGGCGAGTAGGTGTAAGATCCCTGCACCGGAAAGTCCCAGCCCCGGGGTCACTAGAACATTCTGTACGTGTGAACCTACTGCCTGGAAAGCACTTGTGCACTTGTGCACGCGCACCTGGGGCTGGCGGGGATCGCCTACAGGCTGAGGGGTCACAGGTCTTGCCCAGAGTCAGACTCACACCCGCGCTGCTGCCTCCTCCATGGTGCAGCACCCCGAAGTACAGGGAGGGTGGGACGGCTGCTAGATGCCGCCTTGGGAAGTGCTCAGGCAGCTGGAGGAAGGGTCTCTACCAGTGGGTGTTCTCAGTCAGGTAGGTCAGCCAGGGTCCCCACCCCCAGAGGGCCTGACCTCATGGGGCGAGAGAGTAAGCGATTAGTGCCCAGTGACCCCCTTGCCATGCTGTGAGGAACTCCAAGGAAGGAAGGCTGCAAGCATCAAAGCCATGGCTGAGTGCTCCCCAGTCCCTGCATGAGGCCACAGCAGGCTCTCACCCTGAGCTGGTTTTCTCTTTTAATTCTCCAGTTAAACTTTGGACCTCTCTGTAGGGGGCCGGGTAGGAGAGTGATGGCTCATGCGCATGCACAATTAGCACCCTTAGGATGCAAACCTATGCTCCATAAGTGTGGTGGCTGCTATCCGGCTACCAGCTACCATGAGTTAGAGGTTGGGGACAGGAGGCTGCTCCTCTAGAGCAGTGGGGATGGCGGAGGGAGCCTTGCCGTAGTCTAGGGGCCATGAGCAGCGAGGAAACCGCTCAGTCCTCCTCTACTGAGCATGTCTAGCCAGGGTGCTGGAGATTGTACCGCTGGCACTTAGAGGGGCACATCTCAGGTGGGTCAGGAATTTCCTTTCTAGAAATGGTCATGATGCCAGGGAAGGAAGGGTCTGAGCTGGAAAGACACGCTGAGGGGCCTTTGGGGGCATTGCAGTGTGTAGTGAGTGTGGGCGGGGCGTTGTGCCTCCTGAAGGTACCGGTGGGAGGACCAGCACTGGGGGAGGGGGGGGGGTGCCTGAGCACTGGGCAGCCTGCCTTCAGGAATGGGCCGCTGGGTTTTGGAGGGGAGTGAGAACTGTCTGCTAGAGAGAGGGAGGCCGGGAGACACAGGGGAGCCCTCTGTGCTGGGAAGGGCTGAGCTGGGAAAAGACCTGGGGACTAGAAGTGCCTCTCTCCTAACTGGCCTGCACCCCTTCACTGGGGCCACTGCCAAGACCAACCCCAGAAGTCTCTTCTGATGTCTCGGTTGAGAGATCTGTGGGGCGGACTGGGTGGGATTATAAGGCCTGACTTTTCTCTCTCCTCTCACAGGTTACATTCCTTTTGGGACGCCAATTGTAAGTATTCCCTTCAAAGGATTTTTTTTTTCCTTAAAAATTTTTTTAAATGTGTAACTTGACTCATTGCTTATAAGTATTTGACTGAGTTGTTGATTTAGGATAAAATCTTGGAAGGGACTTACTGGATAAAATAGCATACATTTCTTTTTAATTTTCTTGGTTTGTATCGTCAAACTTCTTTCTATAGGTGTGCCAGTGTGCACCCAACACAGAGCCTCGAAGTACCTTCACCCCTGCACATGTCCCGTCCCGAATGTTGTCATTAGGACATGTTGGTTTGGTTACAGGGACATTTCCCCCCAAATCTTGGAAAGTTGGAGAGTAAGGGTGATTTCTGAAAACTAAGGTTTAAAATCAACTCAGAAAGGATTATGTCTTCTTTTTGTTTAGTTTTAGTATCAGGGTTAAGTTCACTTATAAATTTTTTTATATTGTAGTAACACAAATATACAGAGAGGTACATTCATTATAAATGAATATACAGCTTGATAGGTTTTCACAAAGTGGATCCAAGTAAACATCACATAGATAAAGATTTAGAGCATCATCAGCATCTCAGAAACCTCTCAGTCACTACGCGCACACCACAGAAAACCACTTTTCTGACTCTCTTCACTGTATTCTCATTTAGCCCGCTATTGAACTTTATATGAATGGAATCTTCAGTGTGTATTATTTATTTATTTATTTTTATCTTTGGCTTCTTTTACTAAAAAGTGTTTGTGAGACTTGTCCCTGTTGTTATATGTGGTTTGTTCTTCTTTGCTGTATAATATTCCATTGTTAAAACAATATTGACATTTCTTTGTCCATCTTTCTGTTGGTGAAAATTTGGGTTATTTCTAGTTTGGAGTTCACAACAAACAGTGCTGATTTGAACATGATTGTGCAAGTCTTTTAGAGGACAGATATCTTCTCATTTTTCTTGAATTATACCCAAAAGCCGGCAGAGATGAGAACTAAATGCAGCCTGTGAGCCTGGAATCAGGATTGGGGGAGAGGCGTGTGTGAAATGGGACTGCAGTCTCTTACAAAGTCAAACATACGCTTACAGTGTGAGCCAGCAATCCTGCTTTTAGCTATTCACTTCAAGAGACATGAGTACACATGTCCACACAGAGGTCTCCATGTGGATGTTTGCAATAGCTGTCTTCATATTAGCCTAAAACTGGAAACAGACAAGGATGACCAACAAATGCTAAGACCACTGGGTGAAATACTGATTGGGATATTTACTGATATTTACTTAGTCTCAAAGTTTCTTATATATTTCATACATATCATTCCTTCTATGTTTAATAGTTGGTACCCTCCTATAAATAAGAGATTTTCCATCTAATTCTTCCTCTGTTATTTTAAAACTAAATTGTAAATGTTGTTGTATTCAGTGGGTAATAATTTCCTTCGGTCATTATTCATTTTTATATACAAATTGTGCTAAATTTGACAAATAGGAACTCTTTAAAGCAGTTCCTCTGTCCGTTTGACATGTCCTTTTATTTATTTATTTATTTATTTATTTATTTATTTATTTATTTATTTATTTATGTTTATTGTTGTCAATATTACAGATGTCTCCATTTCTCCACCCCTTCCTTTGCCTTATTATTCCTTGAGTATGTCAGTGCTTTCTGGCACACGATATGGGTATTCCAGACTCATCGTGTAGTTTCTCTGCCCTAGTCCTGGAATCATCAATTTCTCCAAAGAGCCCTGGTTCCTTCAGAGGGTAATGGTATTTAGAAACCAAAATCTGGATTCTGGGCATTCTCATTGTTACCAAAGTGTCATTGTTGCTAGGCCATCTTAGTGGAGAATTAGGAAGTACAATTTTTTTTTCTTTAATCCTCACCCGAGGACATTTTTCCACTTTTTGTTCAGATAGAATGGGAGGAAGAGAGAGAGAGAGAGAGAGAAACATGGATGTGAAAGGGACACATGGAGTGGCTGCCACCCACACGACCCAACCAAGACCGGGGACAAACTGCAACCGAGGTACATGCCCTTAGTGGGAACCGAACCCGGGTCTCTCTGGACCACAGGCTGATGCTCTAACCGCTGAGCCAAACCGGCCAGGGCTAGGAGGTACAACTTTTTGAAAATCATGACTTTATACTAATACCTTTAATTCCAATCTAACATCTCAGAGTTCTTTTCCTCCTTCATTTCATATTTATTTCTCCTTCTCCCTGAATGAGAATCCAACAGCAATATACTTATTCACTTACCGAATCTTATACAGATAAATAAAGACTTTCAGATTTGCTGTGTCAGTACCACTCCCCCAAAATGTAGTAAGGAAATTAAAGATTTCTTTGAAGTTCTTTTTGTCCATTAAATATATCCTACCAAGGGTATATAATCAGAGAACTATGTTTTAAAGTTGTTTAAATTTTTTCTTCTGTTGTGTTCATGTTATGTATTTTATATGCTGTTAAGTTTATTTGTTTCTGTTGTCATTCAGCTTCAGTTGTTTCCCATTCTAATTGATTTATTTTTGGAAATATATAAAATGATTCAAAAGCCAAAGCTATATGAAAACTCGTAAAAATTTCATTCCCCTCTCTATCCCTTCTACCTCTTCCCACCCATTGTCTATAAGTAAATACTTTTATTCTTTCTATTTTTTTTTGTCGAAATAAGCAAAGTCTATAACTCTTTTCCCCAGTGTTTTTTTGTTTTTACTTAATGACATATACTAGAAGTCACAAGAAGATCTTCCTCATTCTTTTATTTTTTAATAGCTGCATAGCTGTCTACTATTTAGAAGTACCATTATTTATCTGGCTAATTTTCTACATGTGGATATTTAGGTTATTTCCAATATTTTGCCAATATGAATAATTTGAGAATGGATAATCTTGTGCATATGTTTTTTTATATTGACAGTAAATTTCTAGCTTCTGTGGAGGACTAATTAAATAGACATTTCTGGTAACAGTGAGCAAGAAAAAAGAGAGATGTAAATAAACAATGTTAGGAATAAAAATTATAATAACTATAGATACAATAGAAGTTTAAAAGATCAGAATACATTAAACCATCTGGGGCAATATATTTGAAGACTTAGAAGAAACGGACATATTTCTGGGAAAGTTTAGCTTAGCAAAGACTACCTAACAGGTGTAGTGAAGTTCACAATTATTTAGGCATTGTGTGTGTGTGTGTGTGTGTGTGTGTGTGTGTGTGTGTGTGTTTTCTTTGTTTGGCTAAATCCCTCTTTGAATAATATTCAGAGTGTGTGGGCAGTACACTTGGTGAGTCCTTGCATATCTGGAAATGTCTTTTCCCCTCTCATACATGAACAATAGTTGGTCTGATTCTCTTTTCCTTAATAGGTAAACTTTCCCCCCTCCCCTTGGGATCCTGTGGTACTTTTTCTGTTTATCTTCAGAGTTCAGAAATATCCTCAGGATTAAAATTTTTTCCTCTGTATATTTTATAAAATTATACAAGTAATACATGAATATGTTCTTGGAATTCAAAATTACCACCAAGAATTTTTAAGACTATTTTAAAAGTTATGCAAGTAATACATGAATATGTTCTCTCAGCTCAGAATTTGAACAATACAAAAACAAACAAAAAAAAATACTTTAAAGTTCCTCAGACAACCCTCAACCCCAAATCTGCTCCCAGAAGTAACCTCTCTTAGAAGTTGGGTGTGAACTTGCAGGCTTTTTTTTTTTTTTTACATATTTGCATATAAATGAATAATCATTTAAACCATTAGTTTTGTTTTGTATTTTTTCTATTAAAAATATAACAATATAGCTCTGGCCGGTTTGGCTCAGCGGTTAGAGCGTTGGCCCGCAGACCAGAAAGTCCTGGGTTCAGTTCCCGCTAAGGGCACGTACCTCGGTTGCAGTTCGTCCCCGGCCCCAGTTGGGGTCGTGTGGGTGGCAACCAGTTGATGCGTCTCTCACATCAATGTTTCTCTCTCTCTTTTCCTCCCTCTCTTCCTCCCACTCTACCTGAAGATAAATGCAAAAATGTCCTTGGATGAGAATAAAAAATAAATAAATAAATAAAAATATAACAATATACTTATTTATCTACAATAAGCTATTACACATAGCTATTTGCCTAAATAAAGATCTGTTTCATTCATTCATTCATTTATTCATTCATTCATTCATTCATTGTTTCTCCCGCTGAGTAGTGTTCTCTCCCCTAGTGATGAATTTAAGTGTTTCTGATTATTTGTTAATTAGAAATAACAGTGCTGTGAAAATCTTTGTAAAGCTCTTTTGCAAAATGAGGATTGCTCAAGGGCCCATTCTGGGAAGTGAATTTTCTGTGTAAACAGCTGTGTGTGCCATTTACATTTCTGATAGCTAGTGCCCAATTTCCCTTCAGAGAGGTTAGATTTCATCATACCTTTATAACACCAGTATTCATATTTTTAATTTTTTTGCTAGTCTAATGGCAGAAAGGTAGCATCTCATTATGATTTTAGTTTTTTATTTCCCTGAACACCAAAAAGATTGTGCTTCTTTTCAAATATTTACTGGCCATTTATATGTCATCTTCTGTGAATTTCCTCTTTATATCCTTTGTCCCTTCTTCCACTGTCTGTGTTTTCCTAATTGTTTGTAAGAGTTCTTTATATTTTTGATACTAATCTTTTGAATTATATATATTGCAAGTCTCTTGTCCCTGCTCTTTCCCCTTTATTCTCTGGTGCATTTGTTGTAGGGAGTTTTTAAATGATGTTCCTTGGACTGATTTTGAGTCTTGTCCCTCCTTCTCACCTCTATCTCCTTTATTAAAATGATGGGATCTGTCTGTCTGGTGTGGCTCAGTGGTTGAGTGTCGACCCATGCACCAAGAGGTCGCGGGTTCGATTCCCGACCAGGACACATGCCCAGGTTGTGGGCCAGATCCCCAGTGGGGGGCATGCAGGAGGCAACCGATTGATGTTCTCCCTCATTGATATTTCTGTCTCTTCCTCTCCCTTCTTCTCTCTGTAAAATCAATAAAGAAAAAAAAAAATA